GAAGGCATTTTGTGGTGAGAACCGGTCAACAAAGTTTGAGGTACACCTATCAATGAGAGGTTGGGAGTGAATACCAAAATGGATGAGGATATTGGTGGGGTTCGATTTTGAGGTGCAATATTGTCCCGGGGCATCCAATTGAGTTGCCGATGCTCTATCAAGGATGGATGAAGGAAAGGCACAACTTGGTGCAATGGTTCACTCCTAGATTATGGATTGGATTGAACTAGAAACTGAGATCAAGCAAGACAACTGGCTGCCCAAATCGGTGAAGGCAAAGATGGGCGGGTGGGATTTCCTTTGGAGGGTCAGCGAGTTTTTTTCAAAGGATGACTAGTGTTGCCCAAGTCTTCTATATTCATTCCAGCATGACACCCCGATAGGTTTGCACTGAGGGGAGGTCAAAACGTATCTCCCAAAAGATACGTTTTGACCTTTCCCTCGTGACCACTAATGTATTCTTTGAGTAATTCTAGAATGAATATACTAGACTTGGCAACACTAGTCTTCCTTTAAACAAAACTCGCTGACCTCAAAGGGAATACCACCAACCTATCTTTGCCTTCATCCAGGCCTAATAGCCACTTGTCGTCCTTGATCTCAGTTTCTAGTTCAGTCAAATTCGGGAGTGAACTATTGTACTAAGTTGTGCCTTTCCTTGATCCATCCTTGATAGAGCATCGGCTACTCGGTTGGATGCCCCCAGGAAAAATCGAACCCCACCAATCTCCTCATCTTTGGTACTCACTCCCAACCTCTCGTTGTTGGGTGATGTACCTCAAACTTTGTAGATTGGTTCTCACCTCAAAATGCCTTCAAAGGAGATAATGCTTCCACCTCACAATGGCTAAGCACATGGCCATAAGTTCCTTCTCATATATTGATTTTCCCCTCACTCGAACCCCTAGTATGTTGCTAAAGTAGGATATGGGCCTCCTTTCTCGAACCGCCCCTACCCCAACGCTGGATGCATCGGTTTCCACCACGAAGCCATTAGAGAAGTCGAGCATGGCCAAAACCAGGGCCGTAGTCATGGCCCTTTTAAGGTCTTCAAACGCCAATGTCGCCTCCGTGGACCACCCATAGCTATCTTTCTTAATTCGGTGGTGAGGGGTGTCGCAATTTGGGCATACCGAGCTATAAATTTTCGGCAATACCAGGTTAATCCAAGGAAGCTTCGAGGTTCACTTAGATTTTTAGGAGTTTCCCACCTTAATATGGCCTCCACCTTTTCACCGTCCATGACCACTCCCTCTCTTGAAATAAATATGACCAAGGTAGGCTACCTTCATAAACCCGAACTCACACTTTTTCTTATTGGCATACTGACTATGCTCGGCTAGCTTGCTTAACACTAATCTCACATGCTCCTCATCATCACTATCTGTAGATCAAAATATCATCAAAGAAAACCAACACAAACTTCTTCAAGTATGGCTTGAACACATCGTTCATGAGGGATTGGAAAGTGACCGGGGCGTTAGTTAACCCAAAAGGCATCACTAAAAACTCGTAGTGACCCTCATGAGTACAAAACACCATTTTGTGTGTCTTCGAATTTGATGGTAGTTGGACTTTAAGTCCAACTATGAGTAAATGGCATGCAACTCATCAAGTAGCTCGTCACTGATTGGAATGGGATATTTATCGGGCACCGTCTCTTAGTTAAGCGCCCGATAATCTACACAAAACCGCAAAGACCCGTCCTCCTTCACAAGTAGCACCGGGCTACTAAATGGGCTAGTCGAAGGCCGAATGATACTCGCATTCAACATCTCTTGGATGAGCCTTTCAATCTCATCCTTTTGGACTTGTGGATATCTATAGGGATGAACACTCACGGGGTTGCTACCTCCCTTGAGTGTAATTGCATGCTCGTGCCCCCTATTAGGTGGAACCCTCCGAGCATCTTGAAAACCACCCCATACTCCTACACTCAATCAATCAATCAAAGCCTTAATCCCATAAGTGGGTCGGCTAACATGAACCAAATTTGATTATTCCGTGTAGTCATCGACATGAATCTTCCTCCATCCCTTACGATCCAATGCTTCATCCTCTTGCAAATCCATATCTTTCCTAACTCCTTCCAACTATGTTATTTTCAGTCTCCCTCTCCCTCGTTTAACCCCTCTATGGTCCCACTCTTCTAACCGGTGCACCCTCGAGTCTCCGTCTTACATGCCCAAACCAACGCAAATGATTTTCCTTTAGTTTTTCTGCAATGCCTGCCACACCTACTTTCTTGCGAATAACCTTATTTCTAATTCTATCTCTTAGAAAGTTCCCACACATCCACCTTAACATGCGCATTTCCGTAACCTCCATCTTTTTAATGTGTTCCTTCTTAGAAGCCTAACATTCTACTACTCTACTACTCCTTGATCCCATCTTTTTAATGTGTTCCTTCTTAGAAGCCCAAAATTCTTAGAAGCCCATACTCCTCTAATACTCCCTCCAAAAAATCCGGCACCTTGCTGCCCCCTTGCGGCATCACCTCCGCTTCAATGTGGTTAGACCTCCACTAACAACCCAACCCTTGTTCTTTCATAACCCCTTAATCATGGTTTTAAGGGAAATTTGTGTTTTCTCTAGGGATGGGTCGCCTACTAATTTCATCGGTATGCCGGCAATGGTGAATTTCATCACGTGAGTCTTAAATTAGTAGTTACCGCACCAAGCTTCTTGAGAATAATGTCGGCATTTTCAAGCCCCAAGGGTAGAAAGTCTTCCACCAATGTCACACCACTCTTCAAACAAAGCTTCACACCTCGGCAAATCCCATGGCCTCTTACGGTTTCACCATCACCCAACGCCACTCCAAACTCCCTTCTTTCCTACCGGACTCATCCGGAAGAGACACAAAGTTGTGTGTTGCCACGGATCCACTCCAAACTCCTTTCTTTCCTACCAAACTCATCTACTACCGGAAGAGACACAAAGTTGTGTGTTGCAAGGGATCCACCATGACAATCACCTCCTTCCCACAAATGGACCCCTTTGTTTCATGGTTTTTGGGTTTGAATACCCACCACCAAACACAAGGATATCTCCACGGTCTCCTCCTCCTCTACACTCTCCACACCACCAGCCACCATCTCCTCGGGTTCCTCGGCCTCCATCAATACACTACGTTCCTTTTGCTTGCACCTATGCCCTACACCCCACCCTCATCAAATCGAAAACATAGACCTTTAGCTCACTTCAAATTCAGTTAACTTTCTTTTTGGATGTGATTATATTACTACTATTTCAAGAATTTGCTGCTGCATATATCTTTCTTTATTGTTGGAAGACTGTGAATTGGTTATTGTTTTCGTTCTATTGCTTAAATTGTATTATTATTATTATGACGCAATTTGTGAAAATATACTTTTGTCTCTTATTGTTTGCTGTCTTTTTTAAATTTGAAGTTGGTTTTAAATGTTAAGAGATTGATTTTATATTTTTATTATATGGTGATATTGAGTTATTGAGGTTATTGTATATGTCAAATATCTTTCTACTAATGGGTTTGCAACTGGCATGAATTGACTACCTTTATGGGTTCAAGTTGAAAGGAATGGTGTCCTTCGAACAAGTGTATTATTACGATAGAGGGTTCGGAATTAATTAGGAAACTAATTATTCAGTGAGGTCAAGTGATCGGAATGCCTAGTGGGAGGCCGCTTCCGATCAGTAATATTAATGTATAATTAATATTACAGCTTAATCTTGACTAAACCCTTCTGATCACACCCAATCGTGTAACCGAACCGAAGCGACGAATTAATCCGAAGGATTAAATGAGTCAATAGAGTTTTTACGAAAAAAGACGTCGGATTCCGAGCTTAGAGCGTCGATGTCGAGCGTCGTAAGTCGAGTCGAATTTAGGAATCAACGAGACGGAAAATTCAACCAAACAACAAGTCACAACATATAGCCCTAGCCTCGGAATGGCCGAGCCATCCGAGGGACTTGGGCTATATGGCTAGCAAAGCTGCTAGCCATGTGCGTTCTACTTGTTTGGTTTGAGTGCTTAATAATATATCCCCTGCTTCTATATGTTTCAGATTTTTTTTTATATTAGTTTTAGGCTTTTAATTTTCGCTGCTATAATTACTTTGATGTTATATGGGTAATGTCATTTGATTTTATACTGTTAGAATCTTTTTGGTTTGATGTTTTGAAGTCTTTTGTAGTGATTCACATTGAATTGTTAGCAACTATAATATATCTGTACAAAATCTATTCATATAATTCAATTAAGGTGTCTATTAAACATGTATCCAAGGTCTTAGGCTTATTTGTTGGGGTGGGGGTTTTAGATGACTGAAAAACTGAATATTATTGATGAATTTAGGCCTTTAAATAGGCTATAGCTATGTGAGAAAAACGTATAAAACAAAGCTAAGAAATTGCATAAAACTTCAAGGAAAACAGCCCTTGCTAGCTGAACATGCTTATCAGATTTTCCAGCTGTACCACTTGACAAAAATTGACTTAAAACCCTAAAAAATATTTTTAGTCAATTTTTATGATATTTTTCCTTAGCACTAGATATCCTATTCTAACTACTGCAACTAGAATCGCCTTAAAATTCGTATCCAATTGGTGCAGTTTATTCTTGCATTCTGACCCACCCTTAGAACTCAAAAATTAACTTTTACATATATCCTTGTATATGAAGCCCCTGGAATTTATGGCTTATCTTTTGTTCTGGTATAATTTTATAGAACTCTTAAAAAGTGAACCTTATAGGGACCTAAGCAATATAATCTAATTCTAAGCTACACAATCTTACCAACTTCACTTATATATATCTCATATGCAGCTGCATATTTTGATGTTTGTAGTTTCCTCTGGTCTGAAATTTTATTCTCTGATTTGGTAAAACATATTGAGTTATAGCAATCAGTGGCAGACCCACATGTAGTCATTGTGGGTCCTAGGACACTATTTTTCTGTAAAAAAAAACAAAAAAATTTATTCCTGATGTTGTTTGCTTTTTTTCCCTTTAGATCTATTTCACGGTACTCCTTCCTCTCTCTCTCCTCCATTGAAGCGTACTCGAAATTCTCCGGTGAAGGGGCTTCTGATCTTTCTCTCCTCCATTGAAGCAGTCTCAAAGGTTAGATGCTTCTTTTTCTTTAATCATCTAATATTAATTTTGACAATCTAGTTTAAATCGTGTGTTTAATTCTCAGTATATACTCAATTTAGGGTTCTTCGAAGTTGGATAATTGAACTATTGGTTATAGATACTCGAAGAAATTTAACGTAATTTTTGGAATCTAGTTTGATAATTGAGTCAATTTTGGTTGCTAATGTGTTGCAGGGTTTGGTTTGTCAAGCGTACTCGAAATTCTCCATTGAAGCGGCTTCTGACTTTCTGAGCTTTCTCTCCTCCATTGAAGCAGTCTTTAAGGTTAGATGCTTCTTTTTCTTTAATCATCTAATATTAATTTTGACAATCTAGTGTTAATCGTGTATTTAATTGTCAGTATATACTCAATTTCAATTTAGGGTTGTTCTTCGAAGTTGGATAATTGAACTGTTGGTTATAGATACTCGAAGAATTTAACGTAATTTTTGGAGTCTAGTTTGATAATTGAGTCAATTTTGGTTGCTAATGTGTAATGTGTTGCAGGAGAGTGGTTTCGGTGGTGGTGCAGGGGAAGGGGGTGGCTGTCGGGGCTGGCCTTGTTGCAGGAGGGTGGTTTCGGTGGTGGTGCAGGGGGAGGGGGTGGCTATCGGGGCTTGGCTGGGGAGTGGCTGTCGGGCTGGGTGGGGAATTGTTTAATTAATTTGCATGTTGAGTGAGGAAAATTGAAGCCGTAACTAATTAACATTTAAGCAATTGCAACATGTTTATTGAACCTGAAATTGCTATTGTTTTCGACTTTGTTGAATTTGGATTTCTTTTCAAATTGATGTTCATTAATTCTGTTTTTGATTATATGATATTTCTGTGATAGTTGGATTAATAGAAATGTTATGTATTTCCTTCGGCTCAAAATTAAAGGAATTGTGTTGAAATAACAAGCTTTTACGTCTTTATCATGTTGCAAAGTAGTTTTCTTGTTGGTTATCATGGGAGATAAAATGTTGAATGATTGTTTGATTACTTATCTAGAAAGAGATTTGTTTTATAATGTTAGCATGGATGATATTGTAAATCGTTATCAAAATATGAAAACTCATCAAGAGCAATTGTAATAAAATTAGTACTTTTTTAGTTGTAATATGAATTTGCATTACTTTATGAAATGAACTTTTTTATGTATTTTTTTTTTGTTCATTATACAAGCTTTGACTAGTTTTTGATATTATATGCGGTCGATGGACAATGATGGGACAACCTATAAATCAAATTCTGGATCCGCCACTGGTAGCAATCTAGGATAGTTTTGTTCTACTTGTTTCACTATAAGCATATGCAAACCGTGGATATCATACACTTATATTTAAACCTTTTTCTTTGATTTTTAAAGAACCTTATTTGCATTAGTTAGCTTACACGTTAATTAATAAAGACAAATGATAGGAGCATTTTCTTAACATAATTTTTCAGTAAAGCAACTTTTATAAAATATTCTCTAGTCACCACCCTTTGTTAGGATGACAATATTTCTTACAGCCTTACCCCCTCCCTCTGCCCCTTACTCTGTTAGCAAGTTCCTTGTTATCTTTTTCCAAATTTACCATTAAGCGCTTGGGTGAGTTTAGCTCACTACTCTTTAATCAAAACTCAAATCATTTCCTGCCTACTCTCTCTCCTCTCTTTGATTATATATTACAATTCCCAAAGGTGATTCTCCAGGCTTGTCTTTTAGTGTCCAACAGGTGTCCGCTTCCCTTGCTCCACTAAGGTGTGTGTTGCGGTTTTTGTTGTGTCTTGCTGGGTTGGTAGCTGCTGCACCTTTTCTTGCTCATCTTTCTTTTGTCTTCTAACTAATTGCCTAAATAACCAGTGTCAAATTCTATGCCAATCTTATTGAAAAGTTTGTTCATTTTTTTCTGACACTTATCTTTAGTTCTATTTAGGATGAGTTTTTGAGTTTAACCTCGTGTTTCAAAGCTATTCTTGTGGTGTGGTGCTTTTTAGAGCTTGTTCAAAGCCATTCTTGTGATTTTCTGAATGCTTGATATAGTTGTAGCCCCTGTAGGTTTGTTGTGTTATTTGTTTTTTTTTTTCCTGAGATGTTATATACAGGGTCTCTGAAGTATATTTGTGCAATGTCTGGTTGTATGCTGGTATTAGACATTATTTATGTGTTCATGTAATAAACTAGACTATTACTCACCATAAAACAAGACAAGCAATAAAAATGCAAACTTTAAAGAAATAAGAAACTAAGGAAGAAAGGATGGATTTCATTCCAGCAAAAACGCCTACTACAAGGGTGACTTCAGGCCACCAGTCTCTAAGGTTGTGACTTGGTGGCTGCTGTCACTTGGTGGGCTGTGGTGCGCTACTGCTGCTGTTCATTCTTCCTTTATGAGATCAGTCTACGTGGCATTATGCTCTGTTATTAGACATTACTTTTTACTTATAGGGTCTCTGAACTATCCTTTATTCTATAATGAACTGCTACTGCTTTTACTCGATTTTCTCACAACTAAAGCAAGAGCAAAATAAATCATAAATAACAGTAAAGTAAATGTGGGAAGTTTGGTTGCTTTTTTTAAGATAAATAAAAAATAACAGTAAAAGAAAATAAGGGAAGTTGGGCTGCTTTTTGTAAAATAAATCAGAAAGAACAGTAAAGGATACAATTACCACATAATACCTAACTAAGCCAATCCCAAATCCCCTTTTTTATATGAACACAGCTCATTACATTCAGCAAAAAAGGCCAGCTAGGCTAACACAAAAGGCCAAGGTCTGGCAACAGATTATTTATGTATAATATGCTATTTTGATTTACAATTTTAAACTTTACATGTTAGTTATGTGTAGCGTACATATACTTGAAGACCTGAGTTCGATGCTGAGGCTAGGAAAGACTTTGACAAAAAAGCTGGGGACCGACTTAGGGGTACATTGAACCAAGTTTTCAAACTGCCTATCCATCAGGAAGTTAATGTGGTTAATGTAGGAAGTTAATGTGGTTAATGTGCGAGCTGAATTCATAAATAAGCGTAAGCATCCAGATTTTTTGAAACGTTCTAAGCAAGCCAAACTTAATCCGTCTTAAATACACTTTGTTGATCTATGATACATCTAAGTTTTAATATGAAGAATTGGATAGTGCCAAAATTTACTAGATTGAGGGATCTTACATGGATCAATTGATGTCATGATGCGTGTGATATCTTCCCTCGGTAGACTATTTGTTACTAATAAACTAAAATATTTAAACAAGTGCTTAATGGTATATTTGTTCTTTTAATATTGTCTTCTACTGCTGCAGCAGCACATACTATGTATGAATGTGAATGTATTTTCATTTTATATTAATGCTAACTCAGATCTTATATATGAATGTGAACCACATGTTTTTACTTTATTTGTGTCATTCTTTGCATAACTATATCTTAGACAACAGTTATATATTTTATTCCACCCTTCCCTTGTGTCAACTTATATATTGTTTTATGTGATATAGAGTGGATAATGATAAGAGTTGGATGCATGTTCAAGGGTTGAAAGGTAGGCTTATCGAAATGGTGTTAAATACTTTCTTGATTTTGCTTTCAAGGACACTAACCCTAGTGCTTGGGATAAAAAGAGGTGTCCTTGTTTGAATTGTCAAATTACTTTGATCATGACCAAGCGACAATACGTGTTCATCTCCTTCGAGTGATTACAATCCATGAATATTCTATGGAGAGGAACAATCCCTTGACATAGGAGAAATGGGGTGATGAGTTATATGATGAAGATCCTCTTCTATCAGAAGAGATGGCTTCTTTGGTACATGATGCGACAAATGTAGTGCCGGAGGAGCATTTGAATGATGGGGATGAAGGGGATGGAGATTGTTCTAAGATTCTCGATAAATTTCATAGATTGATGAATGATGCAGAAGAGGAGCTATTTTTAGGTTGTAAAACATTTTGAAGGCTTGAATTCATTGTAACTCTCTCTTACACCTTAAGGTTAGTGGGGGTTGGAGTGAAAAATCATTTAGTGGGCTCCTTAGTGCATTACAAAAGGCCTTTAATTATGACCCAAAACTTTCCAAAGAGCTCTTATGAAGCCAAGAAGTACACAAAAGACAAAGACCTTGGGTTAAATTATGCGAAGATTCATGCTTGTGTCAATCATTGCATACTTTATAGAAAAGAGTATA